TGTTACCTACCAGGTATTGTCCTGGATACTGGAAAGAGAAAGAAAGAGAGCGCTAGCTAGGCCTACCCTTGTAGTCTAATAGAGAGGCAGATGCACACAGAGATAAATGCTGTAGAATGTCCTGTGGTTTAGAGCTACTGGAGGAGGAGGTTGTTATACTTTATCAGAAATAGACTTAGGGAGTGATAAAGGCTATAGAGGGCAGCTGAAATGCTTAGAATGGTTAAAGTCACCTGGTGAATGTGTAGTATGTAAGGAGTGAGAGGAGAATATAGTGAGGATGGAACCCCAGGGAACACATTTAAGGGATGAGTACAGGAAGATGAACCCCCAAAGAATACTAAGAACAGCCTCTGAGGTAGGAGGAATCTCAGGAAAGGTCAGTGTTTCCAAAGCCAAGAAAAGAGAACATCTCAAGAAGAAGAGTTAGTAGCTGTCCAGAGTTGAAATAAAGTCATTCAGATGAGGAACTGAAGAGTTCATTCATAAGACTGGCAGTTGGGAAGCTCTTGGTGACCTCTGCTGCAGGATTTTTGCTGGTGGTGGTCAGGCCCAAAGACTAAAAATGAAGAGGAAGCCGAGTGAGAAAATGTGAGGCAGGAAGAAGCTAAAACAGTAACACAGGTCTGAGGGAAGGTTTCCTAAACACAAAGGCTTGAACAGAGTTACAGCTGTGGGAAAGTAACCCTTGAAACGGGAGAGGGTGAAACTGCAGGAGTGAGGGAATATCACAGGGAACACGTTCCTGCTTCCAGAAATAGAAGATGAGGATAGATCAGGAGTCCAGGGGATAGGATTGGTCAGAGGACAGCAGAAGAGTGAGGCAGACAGGCAGATGACCTCGAAGGGCCATGTGGGGGTCGGAATTTGAGTGTTTGCTCCTGATTTCCTTTTTGTTTGTTTTGAGACAAGGTCTTGCTCTATCACCCAGGCTGGAATGCAGTGGTGCCGTCCTGTCTCACTACAGCCTGAACCTCCCAGGCTCAAGTGATCCTCCCACCTCAGTCTCCAAAGTAGCTGGGACTACAGGCATGTGCCACCATGCTTGGCTAATTGTTAATTTTTTTGTGGAGGTGAGGTCTCACTATGTTGGCCAGGCTGGTCTCGAACTCCTCGCTTCAAGTGATGCCTGTCTCAGCCTCCCAAAGTGCTGGGGTTACTGGCATGAGCCATCACTCTTGGCCCCAGATTTCTTAAATTCTTTTTTTTTTTTTTGAGATGGAATTTTGCTCTTGTTGCCCATGCTGGAGTGCAATGGTACGATCTTGGCTCACTGCAACCTCTGCCTCCTGGGTTCAGGCAATTCTCCTGCCTCAGCCTCCCAAGTAGCTGGGATAACAGGTGCCCACCATTACACCCAGCTATTGAATTCTTTTTTTTTTTTTTTTTTTTTTACCTGAGACAGGGTCTTACTCTCACCTAGGCTGGAGTGTGATGGCGTGATCTCAGCTCACTGCAACCTCTGCCTCCTGGGCTCAAGCCATCCTCCAGCCTCAGCCTCCTGAGTAGTTGGAATCACAGGCGTGTGCCACCATACCTGGCTAAGTTTTATATTTTTGGTAGAGATGGGGTTTCATCATATTACCCAGGCTGGTCTTGAACTCCTGAGCTCAAGCAATCCTCCTGTCTCCCAAAGTGCTGGGACTGCAGGTGTGAACTACTGCACCTGGCCTTTTAAAAAAAAAATCTTTAATGAAATAAGAAACAATCCAGGTGAGGTGACTCACACCTATAATCCTAGCACTTTGGGAGTGGGAGACTGAGGTGGGCAGATCACTTGATCTGGTTCAAGACCAGCCTGGCCAACATGGTGAAACCTCATCTCTACTAAAAATTAAAAAAAAACTAGCCAGGTGTGGTGGTGCACGCCTGTAATCCCAGCTACTCAGAGGTGGCTGAGGCACCAGAGAATCCCTTAAACCCAGGAGGCAGAGGTTGCAGTGAACTTGAGATGGTGCCATTGCACTCTGGCCTAGGTGACAGAGTGACACTCTGTCTTAAAAAAATATATTATCTTAGGGCATCACCACATTACGGAGTCGAGTTGAATTGTTTAGAATAGAGGAGGCTAGGGCAGGGCATGGTGGCTCACGCCTGTAATCCCAGCACTTTGGGAGGCTGAGGCAGGCGGATCACAAAGTCAGGAGTTCAAGACCAGCCTGGTCTGGCCAAGATGGTGAAACCCTATCTCTACTAAAAATACAAAAAATTAGCCAGGTGTGGTTGGGGGCACCTGTAATCCCAGCTACTTGGGAGGCTGTTGCGGAGAACTGCATCAACCCCGGAGGCAGAGGTTGCAGTGAGCTGAGATCGCACACTCCAGCCTGGACGACAGGGTGAGACTCCGTCTCAGGAAAAAAAAAAAAAGAATAGAGGAGGCTAAGAGGCTAGACAAGGACATAGAAAAACATTGTTCAGCCCAGGAGAGGCTAGATCCCATATTCCTAGTGTACTTCCCAAACATACTGAATTAGAATCTGAAGAGGGCCAGGCATGGTGGTTTATACCTGTAATCCCAGTACTTTGGGAGGTCGAGGTGGGCAGATCATCTGAGGTCAGGAGTTCAAGACTGGCCTGGCCAACATGGTGAAACCCTACCTCTACTAAAAACACAAAAATTAGCTGGGCATGGTGATGGGCACCTGTAGTCCCAGCTACTCAGGAGGCTGAGGCAGGGGAATCGCTTGAACCTGGGAGGAGGATGTTGCAGTGAGGTGAGATCCTGCCACTGCTCTCCAACCTAGGCGACAGAGCAAAACTCCATCTCAAAAAAAGGGAGGGAGGAAAAATCTGAAGAGGGAAAGCTCCGGAAAAATGCCAAGTTTGTAGGTGGACATGGTGGCTCACACCTGTAATCCCAGCACTTTGGGAGGCTGAGGTGGGCAAATCACCTGAGGTCGGGTGTTCGAATCCAGCCTGGGCAACATGGTGAAACCCCATCTCTATTAAAAATACACAAATTAAGCTGGGTGTGGTGGTGTCCCCAGTTACACCAGAGGCGGAGGCAGGAGAATAGCTTGAACCCAAAGATGCAGGTTACAGTGAGCTAAGATCACACCACTGCCCTCCAGCCTGAGCTACAGAGTGAGACTCTCTCTGTCTCAAAAAAAAGGTTTAAAAAAAAAAGGCAAATTTGTACTCATAAAACCCAGAAGCTACAGAAGCTGCAGGGTAGCACCTAGTGTTCTTCATCTTTCCCATCTCCACTCGGGCTTGAGCTGGGGGCTCGCCCTGGTGTGAGAACTGATTGCCCTCACCACCAGCCTTATTTCTTCTATGGCTGCCTCCCTTTCCCTTGCCTCCCTTTACTTGCATGGAGATAGTAGAATCTAGTGGCTAACAGTATGGACTTAGGTTAGACAGACTTTCATTCAAATTCACAACTTAATCCCTGTATGACCTTAGAAAAGTGGCTGAAGCCCCTCTGCCTTAGTTTTGTCATTTGTAGAACAGGGATAAGTGATTGTAAGAATTAAATGTGATAATCCCCTAAGCACTGTGCCTGACACAGTGAGCACTGATAAGTTGTAATTGTTTTATTTTTACTGCTAGAGGAACCCACCTGGCTTCCAGTGGGAGGATGGAGGGACAAATGGGAATGTGTTCGTTGCTTTCTTTGATGAAGATGTTAAGCCTCTCCGGCTTTTCTAGGAAGACCTGGACTATAATGCTTGTGCTATAGTAAAAGGGGCTAGTGAAAAGCTAGAAGGGTTTTGGATGTGCAAAGGAAAAAGGAAGCTGATGTGTAGGCAGCTGAGACCAACATTGCCAGATACCAGCACACCGATGCCCGATCACCAGCTGAGTGGCTTTGTGGCCTCCTGCCAGGCTGGGACCTGACTCCTCACTCAGAGTTCCTCTGACACATTCATTTGAAGAGCTGGCTTTCTCTGATTGGCTACTCCTTTGTATTTTAGGGCTTATTCCCAGAAAGAGATTTCAGAGTATGCCATGGAGGATTTTCAGACAGGTCTGTCTTTGATCTGAAGCACGTCCCACATACCAGGTATGGTCAGTTCTGTGATCCAGACAGTCCATACAGGACAGGCTGGCTGCAAATGCCTGGGGGTATTCTACCTCCTCATCTCCACTTCCACCCCCCCAGCACATGGGCACATGTGAGTGCACAAGTGGGTGCACACAGATACACACAGATTTAGAATACAAAGAAATCACTGATGTGGCTTTACAGTCCCCCACAGCCCTTTGGTGGAAGTAACAAGTCTACTGGAGTTGCTCCAGGGAATAGATATGGGACAGAAGGATGCTCTTCTGTTGCTCTTGGGTGGTAACAGGCCAGGAGTCTCTGGGTCAGTTTGTGTGTTGGGCCCCATACCGATGTCCTCTCTAAGTGACCATCATGACACCTGGAAGCTTGGGCTCAGTCTCCCTAAAGTGAATTGAGCCTGCCCCTTATCTGTGAAGTGAGAGTGGTTGGCCTTGATGATCTTGCAGTCACATTTCCTGATATGGGAGGTGAAGTCCCAAGCTGAGTGGGCTGGAGAGGGGAAGGGGCCTGTGTGGATAAGCTCCCCATGGTCTGGACTGATTTTATGTCTATTCTGAATAGATTGCTGGTGACCAGTGGCCTTCCAGGTTGCTATCTGCAGGTGTGGCAGGTTGCAGAGGACAGTGGTGAGTGAATTTGACTTGATGCGGTTTGGGGTTCCAAGAAAGTGTGACTCATACACCCCTGTTCCCTAATCATGCTGGGTGCGCTCTCATGCCTGTAATCCCAGCACTTTGGGCGGCTGAAGTGGGTAGATCACCTGAGTTCAGGAGTTCAGCCTAGCCAACATGGTAAAACCTGTCTCTACTAAAAATATAAAAAATTATCTGAGCATGGTGGTGGGCGCCTGTAATCCCAGCTACTGGGGAGGCTGAGGCAGGAGAATCATTTGAACCCAGGAGGCAGAGGTTGCAGTGAACAGATATCGCACCACTGCACTCCAGCCTGGGCAACAAGAGCAAAAAGAAGTAGACTCAGAGCCAGGTAGGAATTAAAATGCAGTATCTACTTTAATGCAGACAAGGTGAATTAGCAACCACAGCATGGTATCCAAGCCCCAAATGGAGCTTCCTGTATCCTGCTCCTGGAATTGAGTTCACCCACAGAACCATTCCCCCTACGCAGGGGCAGGGGCAAGGGCAGAGCTAAGGCCACTCAGGTGAGCTCACCTCCTTGGTCACCTCTTTGCAGGCATGCCAGTCCCCAGGAAGGAAAACAGTGAGTGAGCAAGAGGCTGGGCTGGCAAGTCCCCCACTCAGACTTACTCTGCTTCCAGTGGGAGAGGAGAGAATAGCAGTGTTCATCCTGTCCCTTCTGGGAGTGGAGGGAAGTTCCCCCGTGGGGAATAGTGTTCCCTCCAGCTGTGGGTCTGTGGGTCCCCTGTCAGGCAGATACCAGAGCATGCAGCCCTCTAGCTTAATCCAGCCCCTTCTGTCCCTCCTTCAGTTAGGGCTTCCTTGGCCAGCATAGAAGTGAGTCTCAGAGGCACAGGCCCAGTCCCCATGCTGCCTCACTTGGAAGCTTCCCAGAAATTGCCCAGCAGCTGTTGGCTTCCCCTCAGGCTTCACTGCCACAGAGGGGCAGTTCTTGTGCTCATTTGTTCTCTGTGGTCACCGTGGGCTTTCCTAGTTGTCACTTGTCCTGTGCTGTCACTTCTGATCATTTGTTTTACTTACTTATAGTTGTTGGGGTTTTTTTCCATAATTTTGTTATGTTTTGACATATCACATAATTCACCCATTAAAAAAAAAACGTACAATTCAGTGACCTTTTTAGTAAATTTAACAAGTTGTGCAGGCATCACTGTAGATCAGCTTTCCAACCTTTTCCTTACCCCAGTGAGATCCATTGTGCCATTTACTGTTCATCCCATTCCAACACCCTGCCCCAGGCCACCACTAATCTACTTCTGTCTCTGGAATAGATTTGCCTTCTCCGGACATGTATCACTGGCATTATACATACAACATGTCTCTGTGTCTGGCTCTCTGAACTTAGCATCGCACTTCTGTAGTCTGTTCATGTCATAGCGTGAGCCGGCAGTTTGTTCCTGTTTTTGACTGGATAGTAGTATTCCATTGTGTGTGTGAATGCACCACATTTTGTCCATCCATTCACTAGTTGGTGGATCCAGTTTTTGGCTATTATGAATAATCCTGCTAAGAACATTAATGCACAAGGCTTTGTGTGGACAAATGATTTCATTTATTTTGGAGAGACAACCAGAAATGGAATTGCTGGGTGTATTTATTTATTTATTTATTTAGAGATGGAGTTTCACTCTTGTTGCCCAGGGTGGAGTGCAGTGGCATAATCTCAGCTCACTGCAACCTCCATTCCCAAGTTCAGGCGATTCTCCCACCTCAGCCTCCCAAGTAGCTGGGGTTACCCACCTTCATGCCTGCCTAGGTTTTTTTTTGTATTTTTGTAAAGACAGGGTTTTACCATGTTGGCCAGGCTGGTCTTGAACTCCTGACCTCAGGTGATACGCCTGCCTCAGCCTCCCAATATGCTGGGATTACAGGCTTGAGTCACTGCACCCAGCATTGCTGGGTCTTAAGGTAAATTTATGTTTTAATTTTTAGGGACACTTTTACACTTTTCCAAAATGGGTTTATTTTATTTTCTTAAACTTAATTTTATTTATTTTACTTTATGATGGAGTCTTACTCAGTACAGTGGCTAAATCTTGGCTCACTGCAATCTCTGCCTCCCAGCTTCAAGTGATTCTCCTGCCTTAGCCTCCCAAGTAGCTGGGATTAGCAGGCATACACCACCACACCCAGCTAATTTTTGTATTTTTAGTAGCGACAGGGTTCCACCTTCTTGGCCAGGATGGTCTTGATCTCCTGACCTTGTGATCTGCCTGCCTCAGCCTCTGAAAGTGTTGGGATTTCAGGCAGAGCCACTGTGCTCAGCAAAGAATTGTTTATGTTCCCACCAGCAATGTATATAAGGGTTCCCATTTTTCCATGTCCTCACCAACATTTGTTATTATCTGTCTTTTTGAAATAAAGCCATTTTAATAGATGTGTAATTATATATTTAATAGATGTGTAATTATATATTATTGAGGCATTCATTTGCATTAACCCTAATGATTAAGAATGTTGAGGCCAGCACCGTGGCACACACCTGTAATCCCAGCGCTTTGGGAGGCTGAAGTGGGCAGATCACCTGAGGTCAGAAGTTTGAGACCATCCTGGCCAATATGGTGAAACCATGTCTCTACTAAAAATACAAAAATTAGCTGGGCATGGTGGTACACACCTGTAGTCTCAGCTACTCAGGAGGCTGAGGCAGGGGAATCGCTTGAACCTGGGAGGCAGAGGTTGTAGTGAGCCAAGATCACGCCACTGCACTCCATCCTGGCAACAGTGAGAGCCTGGCAACAGTGAGACTCCATCTCAAAAAGAAAAAAAAAAGGCCATGTAAAGTGGCTCACACCTGTAATCCCAACACTTTGGGAGACTGAGGCAGGTGGGCCGTCTGAAGTCAGGAGTTTAAGCCCAATCTGGGCCGGGCGTGTTGGCTCACGCCTATAATCCCAGCACTTTGGGAGGCCGAGACAGGTGGATCACAAGGTCAAGAGATCGAGACCATCCTGGGCAACAAGGTGAAACCCCGTCTCTACTAAAAAAATACAAAAAAAATTAGCTGGGCATGGTGGTGCACGCCTGTAGTCCCAGCTACTTGGGAGGCTGAGGCAGGAGAAGTGTTTGAACCTGAGAGGCAGAGGCTACAGTGAGCTAAGATTGTGCCACTGCACTCCAGCCTGGGCGACAGAGCAAGACTCTGTCTCAAACAAACAAAGAACTAAAACTTTACTCAAAGCCAAGGATGTTGTTCCATTCAGTGTCAAAAAGATGTGGACCCTCTTGTCCAACTTACATTTGAAGACAGTGGCATCTGTGATGTAACCTGTACTTGCTAGGCTTTAGCAAGTCCCATGAGGTCATGGAACACGTTTTTGAAGAAGTAATACCAGTTCATGAATTCTGTACCTGTTACTTGTCACTGAAGGTGTAAATGACATCAGCATGTTCTTTCCTTTTCTTTGCTTCTACCTGTTCACAACTATTAAAAGCCAGAACTGTTTTTTGGGTTTTGAGATGGTATTAGTTTCCATTTGCAAAAAAGTTTAAGACAAATAATAAAGAAATTGAAATGTAAACATAAGCCAGAGTGGTTATGTCTCAACATCACCTTTTGCCAACTGGCCACTCCTTTTCTTCCTTGACCTTCTAAAGGTATAGCGGACGACAGCTGGCTGGCCTGTCATGTTTCAAACCTTTATTAAAGTTCTAGATTTTGGCCTCTTTTCCTTTTCTCCCAGATGTCATTAAAGCTGTCTGCACCATTGCTGTGCATGATAAAGAGGAGAGTCTCTGGCCTAGGGTGGCTGTCTTCTCCTCGATGGCACCTGGAGTCCTCCACGGGGCAAGGCTCCGCAGTCTGCAGGTCACAGATCTGGAGTCCGCGAAAACCACGTACACCACAGGTACTACAGTATTTTGTCCCTTGCTGGCTGCTGCAGCCGGCATCGCCTCTCAGCCCAACTCAGCCACTGTGGAAACTGAGTTCAACCCTCTGTGCCAGGTGTTGGGGAAGCACAGTGAATAAGAGATGAGCCCTGGCCTCAAAGGGCTCCCATGCTGGGGCAGGATTAGGCAGTCCCAGGTATCAGCACCCAAACAGCTGAGCAGAAAATAGTGAGATGAGTGGGAAGGGAGATGTGATTTATTTTGCCTGGGACTGGTGGGAAGGGACTTGTGACCAGCCAGCCCTGCCAAATCACCAGACCCATCTGCCTCCTTTGCTTTTGGTCTTCTAGATGTCAGTGACAGTGAGGAGCTGAGTAGCCTGCAGGTCCTAGATGCAGACACCTTTGCCTTCTGCTGTGCTTCCGGCCGGCTGGGGCTTGTTGATACCCGCCAGAAGTGGGCACCGTTGGAGAATCGCAGCCCCGGGCCTGGTTCTGGAGAGAGATGGTGTGCTGAAGTTGGGAACAAGGGCCAGGGCCCTGGGCCCAGCATTGCCAGCCTTGGCTCAGATGGGCGGCTCTGTCTCCTTGACCCCCGGGATCTCTGCCATCCTGTGAGCTCAGTGCAGTGCCCAGTATCCATACTCAGTCCTGACCCAGAGCTGCTGCGAGTGACTTGGGCCCCAGGCCTTAAGAACTGCTTGGCCATCTCAGGTACTGCTGAACAGGATTTCGTGTCTGTTACCTGATCTCTTTCTTTCAGGGAACCGTAAGGTGCTCAGGAAGGAGCCTGTAGCACCGTGATAAACCTGGCTCCAGAAGTCAAAGTTGCTCACAGAGAAACTGTAAATTAACTCTCCAGGTTCTTCAGTGGCAGGCCTTTCTCCACTCTGCCTACTAACTTCCACACACTGGCAGCAGGCCTTTCCTAGCCTAGCAGGAATTCAGGTCTCAGGAGGGGCCTGCAGATAAGACACTGGGACAGCCATGGGCTATGTCAGAAGAGGGGACAGGACCTCAAGGATACTTCTCAGCCCATCTGCCTTTTGAAAGGTAGCAAGCCAGCTAGGTCAGCAGGCTCCTGAGTCTAGTCTGATGGCATCGAGTTGCTTGGGGGTATTTAATGTGGGTATCTAAAAGCCAACAGGAAGGATCTGTCGTGGCGGGTGGGGGTTAAAAAAACCAAGAGACTAAGAAAGGATGATTGGAAATGCCAGGATCCAGAAAGAACAGAAGAGCCAAGCTCAGGTAGAGGAGTGGGCTCTTCAGTAACAGGAAGATGGCAGGATGGGATGAGTGTGTGTGCAGCTAGATCATGCAGGGACATGAGACTATTCCTCTCCAAAGGCTTCTGTTACCATGGTTAGCCTTTAAGTGCCTTGATTCCTCATCCAATAGCCTGTTTGGTACCACCAAATAAATTATAAGTCTTTTAGGGGCTGGGTGCAGTGGCTGACACCTGTAATCCCAGCACTTTGGGAGGCTGAGATGGGAGGATCACTTGAGGCCAGGAATTGAGCCCAGCCTGGTCAACATAGCAAAACCCCATCTGTATTAAGAAAGAAAGAAAGGCCGGGCGTGGTGGCTCACGCCTGTAATCCCAGCACTTTGGGAGGCCAAGGCGGGTGGATCACAAGGTCAAGAGATCGAGACCATCCTGGTCAACATGGTGAAAGCCCGTCTCTACTAAAAATACAAAAATTAGCTGGGCATGGTGGCGCGTGCCTGTAATCCCAGCTACTCAGGAGGCTGAGGCAGGAGAATTGCCTGAACCCAGGAGGTGGAGGTTGCGGTGAGCCGAGATCGCACTATTTATTGCACTCCAGCCTGGGTAATGAGCGAAACTCCGTCTCAAAAAAAAAAAAAAAGAGAAAGAAAAAAATATTTTAAAATAAAAGTATTTTAGGGATTCATTGTCAAACCTCTCTTTTCTGTATTCTCAGGTTTTGATGGCACAGTCCAGGTCTATGACACCACATCTTGGGATGGAACAAAGAGCCAAGTAGAACCTCTCTTCACTCACAGAGGTCACATCTTCCTAGATAGAAGCAGGATGGACCCTGCTGCTCTAGTCACCACTCACACCTGGCACCCGTGCAGACCAAGGACTTTGTTATCAGCAACAAATGATGCTTCTCTGCATGTCTGGGACTGGGTGGACCTTCGTGCCTCTTGCTGACACCAGCATCTTTCCATCCAGGCCTCTAGAAAGGGGAGGAGCTGCTGTAGTAGCACCAGTACTGATGGAGGACTCAAGTGACCGCCAGTCCCTGTTACCAGCTGTGTGGCCTTGGGCAAGTCAACCAGCATCGCTTAGCCTCAGTTTTCTTAGCTGCAAAATGAGGACAGTAAGAACCACCTTGCAATGTTATTGTGAAGGTTGGAAGAAATGCCTGGCATAATAAATTCTTATTTGGTAGCTACTGTTAGTTCTGGGAGTGTAAAATGGCAGTGTTTGTCCCTGTCTTCACAGTATCACAGGGAGAATCAGAAGAGCTAACAAATAAAAACATTCTTTGTGAACTTTTTTATATAAGAAAAAATATATAGGGGCCAATAAACAAGAAAAAATCCCAGCCCTAGTAGCAATTAAGGAAATAGCAATGAAAACAAGATTTCTGCTCCTCTTGAGTGGTTCTCATGGGGACACAGGTGTACTTTCCCACACCTGTCCCCCCAGGTCATTAATTCAAGGGACATTTGCTTTTGGTGGCCCCACAAACATTTCCTCTGAAGGGCCCATAGTGAATATTAAAGTGTGCTAGAGATGGTGCCTCATGCCTGTAATCCAAGCACTTTTTGGGAGGCTGAGGTGGACAGATTGCTTGAACTCAGGAGTTCGAGACCAGCCTGGACAACACAGCAAGATCCCATCTCATTTAAAAAAAAATTGGCTGGGCATGGTAGCTCATACCTGTAATCCCAGTGATGTAGGCAGCCAAGACGGGTGGATGACTTGAGTCCAGGAGTTTGAGACCAGCCTGAGCGACATGGCGAAACCCTATCTGTAATGAAAATACAAAAATTAGCTGGGTGTGGTGGTGTAGCCTGTAGTCCCAGCTACTCAGGAGACTGAAGGGAGGACTGCCTGAGCCTGGCAGGTGCAGTTTGAGTGAGCTGTGATCATGCCACTGTACTCCAGCCTGGGCAGCAAAGTGAGACCCTGTCACATACACACACACACAGACACACAAAATAGATGATCAGGTTAAACAAGTTGTTCATTCTGTCAGCATGTATTAAGCCCATGTGCAACACAAGTTACATGCTAGAAATACATAAATGCGAGGCTTCATAAGGTAGCTGACGATGATTCTTAAAAAAAGAGTGTCTTGAATAATGGCAACAACATACAAAGCCCACAGCCCATCAGTGCCTTTTGACAGATACTTGGGTAAGTTAAAAAAAAAAAAAAATCACAACAGCTGGGCATGGCAGCTCACACCTGTAATCCAAGCACTTTGGAGGCCAAGGTGGGCAGATCACCTGAGGTCGGGAGTTCAAGACCAGCCTGACCAACATGGTGAAACGCCGTCGTTTAAAAAAAAAAAAAAAATCATGACTTAACCATATTTCATGAATCTAATTAGTATACTGATATGTAAATTGTGCTTTGTTTTGTAATTTAGAAAGTTGTGGGAAAATATTTTAAGTCAAACACACAAAAGGAACCATTTTCAGAGGTAGAAACTGTGTTCCATTTATTCCTAAATCCCATTTGTTCTGTACATGTGTCCTTCCAGGGTTTCTATTCTGCTCTGACAGAGGGAACCCACTGGCCAACACATAGCCTCTCCCCAAGGATCTGGAGACCCCAGCCTGAGGATATCTGAGCATAGAGAGGAACTGGTGGGCTTGTTAAAGGAGGATGACACAGAGGTAAGGTCTCCAACTAGGAGACTTTTTTTTTTTTTTTGAGACGGAGTTTCACTCTTGTTACCCAGGCTGGAGTGCAATGGCGCGATCTCGGCTCACCGCAACCTCCGCCTCCTGGGTTCAGGCAATTCTCCTGCCTCAGCCTCCTGAGTAGCTGGGATTACAGGCGCACACCACCATGCCCAGCTAATTTTTGTATTTTTAGTAGAGACGGGGTTTCACCTTGTTGGTCAGGACAGTCTAGCTCTCCTGACCTCATGATCCACCTGCCATGGCCTCCCAAAGTGCTAGGATTACAGGCATGAGCCACTGTGCCCAGCCTAGGAGACTTCTCAATGTCATGGTTCTTAGTTATTGCTCTGGACATATACACACAGAGAAAAGGCTTTATGTACTTCAGTATCCAGGCTCACAGAGCCTAAACCCAGTCTCATGTTTTTAGGATACAGTCTGAGCTGTAAGGCTGTACTGCAAGCCCTGTTTGGCATTTAGAGCAATTCTGCTACACAAATTCTGTTTAGGTTGAATTGTAAAATTGCTGGTTTTGTAGACCAAAAACAGCAATCTTGTATGGTTCAACCCAATAAGTTGAGTAAGTTATGGTTAAAAAGCATAACTTTAGCACTGAACTTTTCTCCTTTCCCCTCCTCCAAAGGATCTAATAAGAATATAGAATGCTTTCCTCTCAACTGACGCCAAGTCAATCCTAAAAGGAATTTGGGGCAATGTAGACATGTTCTGAGCCCCAATCCTCTCACAAGGAGAACGATGGAAGACCTTTATAATGTTATTTAGTAAACCCTTGTCTAGCTGCCAGGTGCTCAGAAGAAACAGCCCACAGCTGACTCAAACATCATTAATGTCATCAGTGCAGTAGGGCAGCCACCTCTGTCCTTGAGGGAGGGTCTCAGAGACAAGAATCTCACTCTAATGTCAAACTGTGAAAATTAAGGCACAGAATCACAGGGAAGACACCCTGAGATGGTGACATAGTCAAGTTCAGAGGTCGTCTCTGAAGTCTCTGGAAACTACCTCCCATCTCAACAGCATGAACAAGAAAGCCCTGAGTGCTATTTCATAAGCCAAGTGAGTGTTTAGTGAGAGAAACGAAGTCTGTCGGACTAGAAGCTTTTCTCTCTCTTATGTGGGTGATTTGGTAGAGTCAAGGGCAAGGACAAACCCTTTCTTGGGATGGATTCCCTAGTGTTTTCAGCCTCAATGCTTTAAAAACATTTCTCCTATATTTAAGGAACATTTAGAGTCTCCTGCATGGGTTCTCTGGTGTGCAATAAAATGGTAACTACTGTTGAACCACCTCCCACATTCACTGCATTCACAAGGGTTTTTTTGAGACAGTCTCGCTCTGTCACCAGGCTGTATGGAGTGGCACAATTTCGGCTCACTACAACCTCTGACTCCCTGGTTCAAGGGATTCTCCTGCCTCAGCTCCCAAGTAGCTGGGATTACGGGCATGCACACCCAGCTAATTTTTGTATTTTTAGTAAAGATGGCATTTCACCATGTTGGCCAGGATAGTCTCAATCTCCTGACCTCGTGATCTGCCCACCTCAGCCTCCCAAAGTGCTGGGATTACAGGTGTGAGCCACGGTGCCTGGCCAGGGGTTTTCTCCCGTGTAATTCACTGATGTATAATGAGACTTGAGCTCTAATTAAAGCTTTTCCCACGTTGCCTGCATTTATAGGGTCTCCCTCCACAGTGAATCCGCTGGTGGGTAATGAGGTTTGAGCAGTCACTGAAACCTATCCCACATTCCAGACACTCACAGGGTTTCTCTGCTGTGTGGATTCTTTGATGGCTGGTGAGAGTGGAGCTCTTACTGAACTTTTCCCCACACTCTGGGCACTGGAAGGGTTTCCCAGCAGCGTGTGTTCGCCAGAGTGCACTGAGGCACGAACGACTGCTGAAACTTTTTCCACACTCACTACACTTACAAGGTTTCTCTCCTGTATGGATTCTCTGGTGCATAATGAGGCTTGAGCTCTGGGTGAAGCTCTTCCAGCACACTCCACATTGGGGCTTCTCTCCCATATGGATTACTCCTTTGAGAGTATAAGACAGTGTACTTATCTATTTTCATAATAATTACAATGATGGTCATAATGAAAGCTAACATTTGCCGAGTGCTAGTACTGTGTGAGGATCCTCAAAACAACCCAGGGAGGTAGAAACCATCACAATGTCCTCTGTCCAGATGAGAAAATGGACGCTAAGGGTGTTTAAAGAGGTTGCCCAAGAACAACAAGCCTTTTAAGTGGCAGCCTGTTGACCTCTATGGGACATTAACTCCTACATTTCTCTCCTCTGTTCCTATAATGTTCTAACTAAAGGCAGGAAGGGAGACTCCCTGGCTGTAGAGCAGAGCAACAACTCGGTGGTCTTGGGGAGCCATCCTGGACTACGGGTTCAGTCGAGGGTTGAGCCAAGCAATATTTGAGAACAGGATATAAACAGTATTCCCTTAAAGTTGTCACCAATTTTTCCCCTGATGAGGCCATTCCAGACCCAAATTAGTCATAGCAGAGCCAGGACAATAATCCTGTCTCCAGATTCTTAGCCTGAATGCTTCCCACAGGACTGCATCACTTCCACTGCTCTGAGGTCCACTATGGGGGAGTGTTGCCATTGGGAGTCTACCGCAAGGCCTGGAGACCAAGGCTCCAGGGTTCCTCTTGAGACCCCTCCACTATTTCATTACCATCCAACCACATCTTCTAGTGCTGTGCTTTGGTTCCCTTTGGAATCCCTTCGATCCTGAAGAAGGCCTCCTGCCACCTCTAAGGCATCAAAGGTGTTTGCAAGTACTCAGGGACTCATCAGGCAATCCACCTCATCATGGAAGGTACAGGTGCCTGGCATGTAGGTGCTCCTGGCTTTGCAGTAGTTGGTCTGAAGGTTTTTAAACCAATATCAACACTGCTCCAGGGTCCACAGGAAGCCACGCTCTTGCAGCTACTCAGCCACAATCCAGTACACTTGGCAGTTTCCATAGCAGGTGCAGAGTTTTTCATGGATCCAGGACTCTGAAAATTCCCAGAAAAATCTTGGTTTCCTTGTATCCCCAGTGCACTCCTGCCACCCTCTCATCCTCTAGGCCCTGTCACTGCAACTCATCCCAAGTCTTTCTCCAGATTAGCACCTGGCCACACCTGATTCCCACCCCAGCCACTAAGCGGCCTCTCACACTTTCCTTTTCTCCAGTGTGTGAAGATCCCAGCTCTGTGGGTTTTCCTCCTGTTCTACGTGGTGAGCCTATGGATTGGAAAATCTCTTTGCAGGCAGACAAAATGGAGAGTAATGGTTTGGTAAATCTAAACCCAACCATTATATGTGCCAGGGAGAGGAGACAGTAATTTTTTTTTTTTTTTAATTCTGGGGGATTCTTGGGAAAGCTCAGTGAAAAGAACAATTAGGAAAAAAAAATCCAGGCCCAAATGCATAACTACATATCCATGTTCATCATCTTAAATAAAAGTCAGACACAAGGAGGAATCCAATGTAGCCAAATGGGAATAGCTCTGAATTGCAGCACCCAGCGAGAAAACAGGGTGAGTGGTCACTGCATTTCCAAACAAATTTTTATTGCCCACAGACCAGCAGATTCCTGGGCGGAAAAGCATCACGAGTCTCCAGTGCAGCCGTTTCAGCCAGCACAGAGGGTCTCCACACAAAAACTCAACACAAATCCAGGCGCCTTTTCAACTGGTGACTGGAACACCTAGGAGACAGAATTTCTCATCCAACTGAAAAAAAGGGGACTGAAACATGGAGCCAGGCCAGGAGATTCCCAGGCAAAAAAGCACCGGGCGCCTTTTCAACTGGCGACTGGAACACCTGGGAGACAGAGTTGCCCTTCAACTGAAAACGGGGACTGAAACAGGGAGCAAGGTGATCTGGCTTGGCCGGACCCACCCCCACAAAGACCAGCAATCAGAAACACTCCGGATTGAGAGTTTCACTGCAAGCACAGCTAAACCCAGGATGGTCCAGCTCTGTGGAGAAAGGGCATCCACCATTACTGAGACAGCCTGCCACTACCAAGGCAGCCCGCCACTACCGAGGCAGTTCTAACTATACCCCTACAAACAAAACTGCAAGGAAGTTCACACA